CACTCCATACCCCACTACCTTTTTTACAATCTCTTTCAAATCTAAAATTTCCTGAAAGTGTTTTTGAATGAATGAATGGGATTTTATTCAAAATCTTCAATATATAGCAAAGGGTAGTTTATCAGTGCTTCATACTCTGTAATCAAAGACTTTTAAGTTTTCATTTCTCTTTCCCTAAACTAGAAATCAGAGATAGCTACAGCAACTTTTCACAAAGAAACACCTCTTTACACCTTAATAGTTCTGCATTCTAAAGAGCCCTCAAATTCATCCAGCCCCACACTATGGTCCATAACTAGCAAACACTTCCAAATGGTCTTCCTTTATTTACTCTTATCCTTCTCTTTACATTCTTCTAAAAACAGCCAGGGAGAGCCAATATGCTGCTGGGATTCTTCTTGAAATCCTTTGTTTGCTGCCTTGTACATAAGATAAAGATCAGTATCTTTAACATTTGGTATGGTCTGGTGCCCAACCACTTATCAGTTTCATTTCACACCAAGTTTCTCAACCTCTGGGCTCCAGCTACATGCACATTACTTCACTTGCTCACCAAGCCATCCTGTTCTTCCTTCCTCAACTCAAAAGCTATTCCTTTCTTAGGGAAGCCATCCATGATCCATGCAAGACAACATAAACCTTCTGCCTTGTACACACTCAACACCACATGCTTTTCCTTCACAGCACTTACAATTGCAATTATGTCTTTGCTCATATAATTATTTCTGTACTGCCTGCTTTCCCAGCAATTTAAAAACTCCCTAAACTCAGGAACTGTTTGTTCAAGTCTGTATATTCCTAGTGCATCTGCTAGAACTTGGCATTAGTAGGTACTTAGTAAATACTTGACAAGTGAATATCATCTGCATTCATAGATGTTAATAAGATTCTATTACTTGGATCTTTGTGTTTTTAAATTGAAGCCTTCCTAAGCCAAAAGTCCAATGAATTAAATTATAGGGAAAAGAGAAATTGAATATTCTCCTTCAGGAAAAAAAGAATGAAAAATTAACCCAAATTTACTAATACATGTATTTACTGAAGGTCTACATAAATTGCTTCTAATTAATCCACCCCCTTTCCCCAAACAACTTTTAGCAACTCTTTAAACAGTCTGGGCATCTCATAGGCTTTGGTTTTTATAAATAACACATCTCACTTTTATAAATAAAGAAATGGTCTTGATATTTAAGACTCCTCAAACTTAAGAGGGGAACTAATTTGGGGTAAAAAGCAAGGAAAGACACAATAATTTTGTTTTAAAAATTGGTTTATTTACAATTTGGTATTTTAAAATTATTTGTGAAATTTTTAATTTTATATATTTCCCTGGCAGGCATTCTATATTTACTTAAATATGGAAGCAAAGGACAGGAAACCTGAGGAGGTTTGAAATAAGATATTTAACTACTGCTACAGCCAGTAAAATTTAACTTTTAATCCCTGAGAATTAATAAAGTGTCAAAAATAATATTCTTATACAAGTATTTTAAAAACCCATTGAAACAAAATAAAGAATAAAGTTTCAATAATAAATCTCCCCATAAATGGCAGTGTCATCCCTCACAAATTAACCACTGGGTGTGTGCATATGCATGTAAGTTCATCTGGTGCACCTGAAGAGGCTGCGATGCTCTAGACTCAACTTTTTTGTAGTTTCTCTCATTATGCAACATATGGTTAAGGATATTCCTTTACTATCCTAAACCAAAATTAAGTACTCCAACCTAGATCCCAAACTTTGTAGTTTTAAAGAGTCACTTTGGAGCAAGTTGCTTCTTTCTTCAAATATCAAGTGAGGGTAACTATAGATGAAAGGAATGTATGAGGCTGAACTGATGCTCATCCATTATGAGATCTGCAAAGGAGCTTCCTATTCTTTTTAAGGACCATTTAGTTATAATATATAGTTGCTGTTTCTTATTAAAGATGACTAGTTAACACTTAAACTGTCAACTTTCTTCAGAAGAACAAATACTGAGTTTCCTCACTGAAATTAAGATGTAAGAAAATGGCAATTATCATTCCTTTCCCCCTATATATTTGAAATGCACCACAGGTATTAAAGATGTGGCCATAGCAAAACCAAATAAACAAATCAGACTTTGCAGAAAGATGCAATTTTCCTATGTGCAACAGTCGTTTTTCATTTGGGAACAGCATAAGTATCACAAGTGACAAGTGTTTATTTATCCAATGGCCCAAAGGAAACACGGTGTGACTCAGACTTAAAAAGCAAACAAAACAATGAGACAAAGCCATATTTTCTTCAGATTACTCTTAGTGCTCTTTTCAAAACAAAAAAGAAATCAGATTTCTTCTTTGAAAAAAAAAAAAAGACAGTATCAATGTCACCTCTCTAGTGCTGGTTTGTAGGCAACTTCAAAACTCTACGAGTCTTTACTTCTATAGCTGTTGATTCCAAAAAGGAAGTGATTATAGAGACTCAAACAGAACACAGTATCAACTAATTTGAGCTTTGAAAGGTTTGATAAAAGAGAACAAATCGGGAACTATACTCTGCCGTGGGTCAGGTCTGGACAATGTATCTCAAATTGCTGCTTTAGCACCAACTTCAAATTTTATATGCAATGTTCTTGTCTTAAAAGTTTATTTCTGAATATAGTTTTAATTTTGATTGGTTGGTTAGTTGGGTTTTGTTTGTATTTTACTGGGTGTGGACTTTGAGCAGCAAGATAAGCAAAAATGAAAATCTATGCATAGGCTATGTTTGGACAAAAGTTGGGCTTTGAAACGCTTAACAGTATTTCCTTGTTTTAGAAAATCCTACTATTGATGTAAGAATCTACACTAAGTAATTTCTTGGCTGTTGGTGGCAGGAGGGATGTAAAGAAAAACGTGAGGTAGTTCTTTCCACATAAGAGAAATATTTGTCTATATAATATCCCTGCAACACGTGACACATTCCCAGTGCATCTCTTTACCATCATCAGCAAGTAAACTCTTAGCTTGGTGTTAACTGACACATGGTTGGAGCTAGTTGGAGCTCACAGACCTTAGTTCCTGAACCAGTCATGATAGGACACTAAATCCCCCAAAATGTAACCATAAAGAACACCAAGTACAAAACAGCAAATGAATACACATTTAAAAGCATGGAGTGGACCTGGGAGAGGACGTAAGGATAATTTACCAGAATTTGTACACAGGAAAGAATAAAGACATGGGGAAGATAAGACTGCTTCCATAGCTTAACCAGCACCTTGAAGGTTAAAAATGGTATGAAACTCTAGCGTGGTAGAGAACATGACAGATATTATATAAAGAAAAATTAACATAAAAACATTAAAGGTGAAGTAATGGAAAATCCTGAGGACAGTAAGAGTTGCCTACTAAAACTTTGTCTTATTTACTTGGAATTTGCATATTTATATTGAACTAATAAATTATTGCTGAAGAACTAACCAGTTAGTAGAATGCACTATTTTAATTTCTCAAGACACTGATACAAAAGCATTGTAAACTTTCTCCAAGGCTGACAGACCAAGAATAATACCAGAAATAGATCAGGAGTTAAATTATAGTTAGAAAAGGGGAGAAAAGTAAGGTAGGACATTAAAATTTTATTCTGAAATTATCTCTGGCCACAACAATAAAATTTAACAAATATTCACTAAACAGTCTTACTCCTGTCATCAGCTGTACAATACAGACAGTATCATAGAACTGGCCACTAGGATTAAAATCCACTAGAACATATGTCATGTTAAGTGGCGACAGCAGCATCTCACAGAAATTTTTACATACATATATACACAGTCCACATTCAACCATTTTCACATATTTTCAGTACACACAGTTGCAGCATATTACAGTAACATGTCTAAGTTGTTGCTCGATAGAAACTCAAGCCATGCCTAGACACAACTGCAGCAGTTGAGCTGAGTATAATTACAATTAATTTTATATATGTCCATAGCAGAGAGATGTACAAGCCCCTAAGAAACAAAGATTTCACAAATACTTTTTTTTTTAATGCTACCACAGCATTATGTTGGGCAATATTAAAACCTTTACCAACCAAATCAGTTTTTTTTTAAAAAGTCTTTTGCTTACCAGAAATATTCTTGATGAAAAAAATTACAAAAATGAATGCTCTCTTTAAAATAATTCACACTTTTATTTTAAGATTCCAATATGGCCCAATGCTACTGATGTCTAAAGTGTTTTTCTAACATTCTGATGGAGTCATTTAACATGACGCCAAACCACCCATTAAGTTTAAAAGTGGCTTAAGTGCCTTGCACCCAAATTGTAAAAATCCCTGGCCATCCTTACTAGAGCCAGGCACATATAAAAGGAATGCACTTTGGTTCATACCAAATGCCCTGGGATTAATCACACTATAAAATTAAATGGTTTGAGGTAAATTTTTACAAATACAGTTGATTTTTGTCTAGTGTTAGCATAACAAAAAAATATCATTTAAAAAATCAGTTTGATGTTAAGAGACAACAAAGACCACCTTTAACTCCTTAAACACAGGCATTTCCTCGTTCAGCGCCTGATGACGATTCACGCCTTATGGTTTCTATTAAGGCCTGTAACTAGATATTTAAGACAGATGTATCTTTGCAGAGGTGGGTTCCATCCTTACTGCCTAATATCTAAAGAGTTAAAGAGGCCAAAAAATGCATGCCCCACAACATGGCATTCAGAACAAAAGGCACATAGTTAACACTAAGGGCACAATTTCTCCTCTACCGTTCATCTACACTGTCTTGCATCACTCTGTTGTTCTACTGTTGTAGCGATACACTTAAGTGGTAATGAACACTCTGGTGGTGCAAGAAACAGAGCCAAATGAGACTGCAACCAAAGACGACACTGTGCTAGTCCTAAATCTGAAAACAGCTCAGACATCCCTAGACAATGGTAACCTGTGAGACCAAGGACTGTTTCCAAGCCAACTCCTAGTAACCTATCAGAGCCCTTTATTTATGTTTTTAAATGATGAAGATGTAACAGTTTTCTTTTGGACGTTAACATCAAAGTAGAATTTTTTCAAAGCAGCTCTATCACTAAATGCTGAAACATGGCAGTTCTTGTGAATAAAGGAAATTTCACTGCATTTGGACCAAAACAAAACAAAAGCCCCATAGCACTGCACATTGTAGTTTGGCTTAAAAGTTTCCGGTTGCATTTGTGATTGAATATAGTCACAAATGCATTGCTGGCATGTAAGAACCAGTTTTGTGTCGTGGGGAAAAAGATAAGCAGTAATAGTCATTGATAAATTTTCACATGGATAAGCATTTTATAGGGAAATTAATAGTGGCAGGCTTAGGTTCATATATTTAAACCTAAGTGTGAAAATGAGTGGAGATGGAAGAGGAGCATTGTAAGGGGGAAAATAGCCTTTATATGTTTTTATTTATTTTAATGACCTAAAGAAGATAAATCATTAGGTGGTTCGTGGTTTTACAAAGCCACCAAACCAAACCTCACAATTCTTATGTCTTTAAGCCAAAATCTTAATACACCAATCTTTAAGTCCTATAGGCCACTGATTGGGGTATCATTATGTGAGCATCATTTAAAATGTAATTTATTAACACATTATTGCACTTTCAAATTACACAGAAATGTGTACAATATGCTAAAGAATTTGACTAGCGGAAATAAGCTATATTCTCTAAATACAGAAGCACAAATTAATTTATTAGTGACACCCTTAAACAGTAAAGCAAATAGCATATCACTATGTTATTAATAAGCTAATCTTATTACTGTTTTTTTGGCAAATATCTGAAATATTTCCTGAGCATATTTTTCCACCATCAACTAGCAAAGCCTCAAGAGAAATAAAGTGTTTTGTTCAAACTGACATTTTTTTTTAAAGTAAGAGAAATTGTAGGATTAATATTAAAAGACTTAACCGGAAACTTTCTTGGCCTCACTGGGGACCATGCTTTAAGTACTTGTAAATCAATCTACAGGCAATACAATAATATCTGTGCATATAAAAGAATATTTATCCTAATTTATACTATCCCAAACCTATTATCCAAACAGGCAGAAATCTTTCTATATTAAATTGCACATACTAAAAAATTTTTCCACGTGCCTTGAAATTTTGATATATATGTATTTATATATATATCACTGCTCACACATTAGTGATAAAATACTGAAATTTTCACTGTGAAAATAATTATTATTCAGAGAAGAAAATATTCTTTTACCTAACTAACTCTCACTTTTCCAGGTAAAGTGTCATTTCCACAAAAAACAATCAGTGCAATCCAAAAGAAAATAAAACAAAATAGAGGAATGCGCTTTCTGTGATTCTAATGATGCAAAAAATAAAGTCAAACCATTTAACTTGAGGTTGAACTTCTCCTCCTTTGAATGTGTTGTTAAAACTGGCCTCAGTGAATGGCCACGGTGACTTCTGTTCAACAAGAGGATTTTCAACCTTCTTTCTTTTTAAAGAAACAGTTGATACTTTCCCAGGCTAAGGGAACCTTACAGCAGTGGCACCTGAAAAGTGTGAACTTATTCTGATCTGCTCAGTCTTCTTTGGAACTATGGAAATCCCCACCTTAAGTAGCTAGGCTGCTGTTCTTTTTTAACTTGGAATATGAAACGATGGTCACAATCACAGCTGAAATGTCTCTTTCTGTATTAACAGTCTGGGAGATACAGCCAAAGAAAGACAAACTAAATGCAGGCAACAGATGTGTGGTAAAAGAGGAACAGAGAGAAGAGCAAAGAGAAGGAACAACCATGGAATACATTTCTAAAATTAGGTACAAAACCAATTCTGTAATAGGAGGCTTCTTGACAAAATAGCTTGCTGATCATATTAGAAAATTTGGAGGAACACACATTTCAGTTTCCATGTACCCACTAAATGCTGCTTTGCTAGCTTGTAGAATGTCAGAATGCTAACTGGGCAATTTACACCTTGGGGATCTTGTATTTGTTGAGCACTTCAGGCAAAAAAATTCTCTAAGGTGCAGTTTTTCTTAGAATGTCATTTCATTCTGACCATCCTCCTCCTGCCACTACCACGCACATTAATTTATGGAAAACGGCAGCAAGACATGCTACCCCTGTGCACGAACCTGGAGTGTGGAGAGAGAAGGATGGCCTTAAGGGGCACCTTCCCAGGGAATAGGAACCATGAAAACATAGTGAATGTCTTTGACCAATCTGTAAATGCGTGACAGTCGTGAAGTAATCAATGGCCTGCCACTGATGTTATTACTCTGCCACACTAAATACAGTAAGGCTCATCGTACTTTTAGAACACAAAAACAGTTTCAGAAAGTATAAAAACTTAAAGCATTGTCCCCATGTATTTTATAAAAACGAAACAAACAACTGTCTTACATCAAAATTAAGTGCTGAAAAGATACAAATGAGTCAAGTTATTGAGCAAATAAAAACAGGTCTGAGCTACTCCTTTCAACCCAATAAGGCTCAGCTATGTCGAATCTTTCAGATTACCAGCATCAGGGGACTGGAGCTCAGCTAACGAGTTTTGGCAACACTGTCCTCTGCTGAATATTCCCATTGGCATCTGTCATTTGTGCCAAATTAGTCCTCAGTTTGGAAGCTGAGCTGGAAGGTGGAGGTAACTTGGAAATCGACGTGATAGCACCAGTGCTCTCAGTTATCCTTTTCACTGACGTCTTCTCCCCGGTTGGAGGCTTTGGCAACCGCCTTCTGAGCCAGGGATGCCGTAAAGCCTGGCCCGGGGTCATGCGAACTGCAGGATCCCATTCTAAACACTGTTTTAAGAAGTCAAGGAAAAGAGGATCATCACATCCCTTCAGTGCGTTCCCCCACTCTCTGCTCTCTGGTGGGCCTCTCAGTTTCCCCCTCCGGGAACGGCCTCCGTTGAGGACCACAGAGCCATCTGAAAGAGTCGTGACAGTGCAGTAACGGGGATAACCCTTGGAGCTCACAAAATTTTTGGCTCGTTTGGATGCATCCAACAGTTTCTGGGAGGGCATGCCCAAAAGTTCAATCATACAGGCCAGCTGGTCCCCTTCATCCTCCCCAGGCAAGAGGGGATAACCCGTCAGGAGCTCTGCTAAAATGCAGCCCAGGCTCCACATATCAATGGGCATGCCATACCTTGCCCCAAGGATCACTTCCGGAGCCCGGTAAAAGCGCGACTGGATGTACGTGTAGACACGCTGATGCTCATAACAACTGGAGCCAAAGTCAATCACTTTAATACTGCTTCTACCCTGCTGCTTTAACAAAATGTTCTCGGGCTTAAGGTCACAGTGAATTATTCTGTTTTTGTGCAAAGCATCCAAGCACTGCAAAATTGAGTGGGCAAACTTGCGGACCAAAGGCAGGCTGAAGCCCTGGAATTTATTCTTCTTGATGAGCTCATAGAGGTTCATGCTCAGCAGCTCAAACGTCATGCAGATGTGGTTGCGGAAGGTGAAATTCTCCAGCATGTGGATGACGTTCATGGTATTATCCTTGTCCTGCTTCCTCAGGTGTTCTAGGATTCGGATCTCCTCTGCTGCCTGCCGGTGGAAGCGCTTCTCATTCCGCACCATCTTCAGGGCCACATGCTGGTGGACTTTGTGGTCATAGGCCTTGACCACCTGCCCAAAGCTCCCCTTCCCAATGACCTTGAGGACCTCGTACCTGTAAGCCACATGATCGTGGGGCACCTGCACATAAGATCCCTGGTCATCATCATAGCCACCATTGTTGGGTCCACCTGTCATGCCCTGCCGCTTCTTTGCATTTGGACCCAAGAAATATATTTCAGGGTAGCTGAAAATCTCATGGTGTTCAAAGGCCGTTAGTTTTTGCATGTATTGCTTCATTGCTTGTTCAGGTGTCATGGGGGTGGCTTTCACCTTCCCCATGCCTTCCATGGACTTCAGAGAGGTGGAGCTACCCTGCCGTCTGTGAATGCCCTCCAGCTGCCGCTCTGACACCACTGGTAAGCCTGTCTTGCCCACTGTGGTAAGCCCATTTGGTTGTGTTGTGAGCACTGTCCGCTTGTTACTGTTATCCTCAAACAGCTGCTGAACCTGGATCTGTCCGTGGCTATGGCTGCTGACATGCAGGTGATCATTCATTGTGTGCTTACTGCCGCCAATCTAGAATTCAGACAGGACATATAAATAGAATGCAAGAGGTGTGCCTCTCAAATATGATTTTATAAGTCAGCTCTCACTCCCTATGTCCCCATCTTTACAAAATGCAATTTCGCTTGATTCTATAACCAGAATCAGTTTTACTAAATGGAAAGAATTGTTCAACCAAGAAGGACCCCATGAACACACACTGGCAGAGAGAATGAATGATGCTGACAGGTTCTGATACAAAGAAAAAACAGAACAGTGGACTGGGTAAGGACAGGAAACACAGGAAGGACAGACCCCACAAATGCCACACCTCATAGACAAGTAGCTTGTGGTACATAACCAGGGTCCTCAGAGTAAGTTCTCCATGGAATAAGAAACCAACCTTTCTCTTTCATTACTCTATACTTAGTATTTACTAGCAGGCCTGGTGCTCCACTCAATCCACACTAGATACATGAAGACAAGGACCATCTATGTCTTGAGTACTCTCTAATATCTAAACCTATTCCCCGAACACCTTGTCATCAGTTTCTTTTTCCTCCTGGAAATCTAATTAAACCTAGGAACATATACATGATTCATTGACAAAGCTAACTGTGCTTTCAGACTTGAAAGATTCCCATGTGGATATGCACCATAGTTATCTTGCAAACCTCTAACCTATTTTTAAAAAGTTTTGGGGCATTACTGACTGTAGTAACCACTTAAGGCCATTCAGCTCAACAAACCAAGCAACAACCACACTGTTTTGGGCTTTCCTTTAGTTTATTGCTCAGCTCTCTTAAGACATGTATTTCTACAGGCAACTGAATACTAAACTTTCTAACAAGGAATACAAAGTAGCAATTTCTATTTGAGGCACAGAGACCATCCCTCAAGAGTCCTGCCTAAACAAAACTGAGAGAATAAACCTCAAGAGGTCCCAATATTATACTGAGAATCTACTTGAGAATTTTTTGAAGCAACCTAGTAGGCAATTTTTATATGAAATCTCACAGAACTTGTCATTCACAATCCACCTCATTCATTCAACTGTTATTAATGGGAGTTCAGCCACAAAAGTGGCAGTGTCTCTACCCTTCAGAAGCTTACAATAAACTAAATAAAGACCTTTGTCATTGATATTTTTTTCTATTATCCCCTATTAAATTCTACCTTTTGGACTTTTTTTAATACTGCTACAAGAATGAAAGTGCTCTATAAATACAGCACAGTAATTTGAGGAATGGTTTGGGAACACCTGCATTATAAAATGAAATTCCAAACCCTTCTCACTAGCAGAAGGAGACCACATTTTCTTTAACTGACATGTAACAGGTATAATGACCATCTATAGAATGACGCTTCTGTCTGCTTATTTTTAAAATAAAGTACTACAACTTTGTAGATATAAGAATTTTGTTTCTCAAAGAAATTTTTAGAACACTTCTAGTTGAGCTCTTTTACACTCCATGCTACGTGACCTTATATTCTGTTATGGCACCTAGATAGGTTATTTATCTCCATCCTCTGCTAAAAGCTGGGCAGTCCATAAAAATGCATTAGAAATCTTAACCATATAAAAGTAGTACAGAGTTATCCATCGCTTTTCTTTCCAAGCCTCATTCTCTGTACTTCCCCCTCTCCACTGCGATCTTTCAAATACTAAAAATAAAAGGACCTGAAATTTATCTCTTCATGGCAGGTATTTTACAAGAAAAACTGATATTGCTGTGTACATCTATAAAAAGCATGAAGTTTCATTAAGGACAAAGTTAACCTTGAGACGCTAAGGATTCTTAAAATGATAGCAAAGTAAAACTTTTTGAACATCATTCATTCACTTCTATTCTGATATAACATTTTTTGCATAATTCAAAAATTGATCACAAATGTTTAGTGAACAGAACTAAAGAGAGTTCATCAATATCCTAGACTACTTCCTATCTTTCGAACTGTCTTCCCTTCATCTCCTTTTATAGTATCAGCTATTAGTCCACAGGCCCTTAGGTGGGTTCAAGCCTCAATTCTGTTGCTTTCTCACTACCACAACTCTCCCAGGTTGATCCTGGGCTTTGGCACTACCCACAGCTGACATCTGAGCTGTGACCTTTGGCAGAATCCATGTCTCCTGGATTCAAGACCCCTGTGCCCAAAAGCTGATCAGCTCCCTTTCCTATAGGCAACTCACACTCTACTGATGATTTTTCTACCAATTACCTCCTCCCATAATTCTCAATTTTTATAAAATAGAAGGCTTCCCTTTCATAAAATCGCTCTAGCTGTGAATCCTTCGTACTGAACACCTGGAAAACCCTCTCAGCATCTCCCTCACCTTCCAAAATCAATGTGAGGCTTTCTTGTATCTACGCACTTATGCCTTTTCCATGAACACCACCTCACCCAAAGCTCCTGATACCTTTCACTGGGACAACTACAGCAGCCTTATAACACAACTCCATTGCTTCTTAGTGTAGAATTCCTCCAATCTCTTCTCCCTAATGCTTCTAGACACTGATCTTGCTTTTGCTCAAGGCCCAACGCTATATCCCACTTCCACAGCAAATGCAAGAAGTCACCAGCTTAAATGATCTGATCCTTTCCAGTCTTATTTACCACTGTTACCCTTCTCTCCAAGAGAGTTGAATTCCCCAAGACCCAAGGAAACGTGCTCTTTTATACTACTCTGCTTCTGGTGAGGTCGTGTTTCATAGACAGCCCAGGGATTTTCAGTAAGACACACCTGAAATGAATCCAGCTCCACCATTTACTAACTGTGTGACCCTGAGTAATTTACTTAATCTCTCTGAACCTCAAGTGTCCTTGTCTGTAAAAAGAAGGTAACAAAAGGAACCCTCATTAACGCTATTAGGAGGATTTTAAAAAGCAATATGAATTAAGTGCTATCTATAGTACTCAGCAGATAAGAGTTATTAGTATTGTCCTTTTCAGATGCTAGTTGCAATCTTTCTCCTTCTACTGTCTAGGTGATACACTCCTATTCACCCTTCAATACCGGCCTGATTCAATTCTCACCTCCTCTGACCTCTAAACAGCTTCTTCTGTACTTGCAGTGCAATGGGATAGTATTAACACTTAGTTCACTTTACTGTAATTGTTTTAAAGTTGAATACACCCACCTGGCAGTCAGCAATTCCAGAACAGGGTCATCTCTTATCTTCATAACATAAACTCAGGTATACAGTAAGCACTTAAGGAATATTTGCTGAATAGCAGCACACATGTCAATAAATCCCTGTTAACTCACACCTCTCTTGGAATTTTTCTTGACAAATATTTTTTGTACTTTCAAAAGGAAACATGAAGTCAACACTCAGGAAGTTGGGAAACGTCCCTTGGGCCCAAAGTCACAAGACGTTAGGCTTCAAGTAAATTAACAGAGACTTGGAGGCAAAGGACAGCTGACTAAAAAGTACCTGTAGCAGACACATCAACCTAAAACTAAGAGCCACATATGGAGCCTTATACTTTCTAGACATTAAAGAGATTTCACTTGAGAGCACTAGTAAAAAGGGGAGGGGGAGACTATGTGAGTCTCTAATACTGCAGGACTCTGAAATCACAACCAAACTCAAAAGCACAATTATCTACAAAAGGAGGGCGGCTGAGGGGGAAGAACTAGAAAAGCCAGAACATTTTTTAGAATATATATACTAGAACCACATCATAACCTAAAGGATCTTAAGGACAGTAAAACCTCTCACTCCCACTCAGGTCTCAACTGTGACTTATTCCTATTTACTGAGGACTAGCACAGTGGGTCACACTTAAAAATACACAATGAATGAATGCAGTGATTAAAATACCCACAATAGGATGGGTTAAAATGGAGGCACCAACAAAAGCCTCCCCTGACCAAGAAGTATTTTAGTATTAAAAATTATGTAAGAATAAGCTTGGTAATTTTAATCTCTTCCAACAGAAAAAATGGCAAACAGCATATTTTTCACTTATAATATTTCTGGCCATTTTAAAACTTCTTTGAAGTCATCTTAGAAATGCTGTGTAGTGTTACAGGAATAAAACTGAGTTGAAAAAGACTGGAAGTTTAGCTTCTCTCCAAACATACTGACAGCTTCTGTAGCCCTGAGGCAAATGTCTGCTTTTTCTTCCTGAAGATATTTCTATTTTTTTAAATATAAATTTTAATTCTTATTCCAATTATTTTATTAAGGTAAAGCTGATAACTGTACAGTGTTTAAACAGTAAAAGTTATGAAAGGATATCTATCCATATTCTAGAATTTAAAAAGTATATACATTAATGTCTGCCATATAACATAAAAATAAAAAAACTATTGAGAATCAAGATAATTATTAGGTATATTTTTAGAACAGACAGAAATAAACTAAATGACTAAAGTATATAATAAAAGATACACAGAGACAAAAAGCAAAGGGCAGTGGGAAATTCCAAGGTTCATAATTGTTATAATCACATCTTTATTTATCTATCTACTGTATCATTTACAAGGGAAAATATGGACAAGCTCCTATGACAAGATCATTTTCTTCTCCTTAATGTCCTTTTCTCTCCACTTGTTCTAAAACAGTTCTTCCCAGGTGATTACACTGGAATTAAAATCTGAAAACTTATAAAAATCCAGCAGACATATGGGAATATGAATCTGCAAAGGTTCTTACATTTATAGTAAAACTAATACAATTTCCTATAATTAGTAGTACCGGGCAGTTTATTAAAACCGAATCAGGAGGATGTGGGGCTATATATTGTGCCCTGACGTGAGACTCTTGACCAACCAGTTAAATTGTAGAGTCTGCATCCTTACGTAAAAATGGAGTAGAAGCAGGTAAACTCTTCAATACTTTCAACTTTCCTGTTCTATGAAATCTGCAATGTTTTCCAAGTGAAATAAAAACTAAAAAATGATTTGAAGCCCAAAGTCACACTTTCAAAACCATTAATCTAATGATTAACAGCATACTGAAGTTTATACTTAAGCTAAAAACAGGTAACTCAGGCTTATGCCACAGCAAAATATAGGCATGTATCACTGGAAGTACACAGAAGCACATTCACATCTATTCATCTCTGTTACACTACAGGCTATTCCTCTGGTGGAAAGTTTTGTTTTCTCTAATTTCATTATATATTTCAATTGCAAAAAGTCCCTGATCCAGCAAACCCCATCCTTAGAAAACTGGAATCTAGATGCAAGCCAAGTATTTTTTCCCAGTTCACATCATGTCATGTGATTACATCAACACATGGAAAAAAACTGGATGTTATATTTTCCAAATTGTCAGATGATTCTAAACCAGACAAAAACCCGAACTCCTAAAGCCAATGGCAGTTCCTAAATGAAAACGTCTCTGTAACAAGAACACTCACCAGAATTATCAGTTCCTACCTGCAAACTCTCCCTTCCATCAATAGTCCAAATGGATTAATTTCTGTGTAATGAATTCCTAGCCCCTAGGACTCCTCACACAGACTGATTAACAGCAAAACGTTTTCTGTGAAACTTGTCTACATCTCTCCAGGTCTATCAGGCACAACTGGAGTCTAAACATCCTCTCACAAATTCTCCTCTAATAAACAAGTTTCCCCTTAACACATGACCCCCAGAAATGCTCCTACAAATGGCCTTTCCTACAAGAACTCAACTTTCACTTGGCAAACAAAACTGTACCTCTAGCAAACATCCCTCACACAGAACCATTTGGAAGATAGATATAGTTGGGAAAAAGACTTCTGCAAACCATCACCTCCTCAAAGCGCACACCTTGCAGTCACCATCCAAGGGTGATCCTTGGGAGCTGAGAAAAGGTACATGGCTCAAGTGGAATCCAGCTTGCCAATCTCTGTCGCCAGCAGCCCAAAGCTGGGCTACCTCTTCCTCTTGGCCCTCCGAGGGGCCACAGCACCTGCCAGGTGCCCTTCCCTTGCCATCTACAAAAGCAAAGCTTCCCCTTTGAATGATACTCAACTAGAAGAATCCTACAGGGGTGGCTTGTTTTGTTTTTACTGCTGCTGTGGTTCTTATTTTTGTTAATGTTAATTACAATTTTTGCTGTGCTCAAACCTGTAGCACTCATAAAACATGCTTACACACGCAGGGGACAATTGGCTGTGCTCCCTGCTGGCTGGAGCCAGGCCTCAGAGGCTCTTTGGGAGATCGATTTTCCGGGCAGGGTGGCCTGGCTGTCCCCTAACACATATCTGTTTCTATAAATACCCACTACCCACGGGTTTGAGGAAGGAGGGGTGTTTACCAGGTCGGGCAAGGGAGCGCTAGGAAGCAAGGATGGAAAAAAAAAAATAAGGAAGAGAAGGAAAGCTGCAAGGAGGAAGTTCCAAGGAAGAGGAGCTCAGGGGTGGGCGGGCTCCGGAGGGGAAGTGAGGGGCCCACACCACGAATCTTCCTTTGTGGCTGCAGCTTTGGGCTCGCCCAAGTTAGAGGGCGGCGTCGAGGACAGGCAGGCCCCTGGCCAGGGGCGTGGACCCCTTCACCTTCTCCTTTCCTGGTGTCAGAATCCCGCAAGCTCGGGTCTTCCTGCCCCCGGGGTCCTCCCGCCGCCCACCCGACCGCCCGCGGGCTGGGTCTCACCGTGTGGGCTGCGGTGGCTGCGTTGTTGGCCCGGAGAGGCGGCAGGGCGATGGGGGAGGGCGGCCCGGTCCCCACTCCGCTCCGGGGGAGCCCGGCGGCCAGCCCTGGGGAAGCCTGGAACTGGCGAACGGTGCTGTCCCCTCCTCGGCCTGGGAGCCACGCGCGGGAGGAGACAAAAGAGGGTCAGGGGGGAAGAGAACCACCCAGACCTCTCCCCCAACCCCCAAAGGGCAGCGAATCCCCTCTCCCAGAAAGAGATGGAAGGAGAGACGGGCACAGGAAAGACAGGCGAGGGAGGGAATTTCGGGGTTCAGCTCCCCAGCGTGCAAGCCGGGCGGGGCTCCAGCAGCTGCAAACTTAAGTCTGGCCCCGGCAGGCGAGTTCGCGACCTGGCCCGGCAGCCGGGATGGGCCGGAGCTCACGGCCCACGTTGCAGGCGGCCAGCGGCCAGGAGGGGGGAGGTGGACCGCCGAAGGGGGCGCAGCGGTGTCGCCAAGCTCGGGACCCCAGGGGAGGAGGCCCGGACTGCCCTGGGTGAGCCCGCGATGGCCGAAATCCGGCAGGGGACCAGGGCTCCCCTCGGAGCCACCCAGGGCCCGCGTGCAACAATGAGCGCCAGGAGCCGATGCGAGGCGCCGTGCGCCCCGGAGCTCCCGGCGCCGCCCCGCCGACTTTGTTCGAGGGTCTGCGAGCAACGGCCGCCCGCGCCTGCCAGGGCTGGCCCGGGGACAGGAGGGGACGACAAGGCGGATCGGCCCTCCTTACCGGTTGGGTAGGCGGCGGGAGCGGCGGCCGAAGGTTTCCTGGTTAACATGGCCGCTGGAGAGGAAAATGCATTTCAGGGCTGCCGTCTCCGCCGCCGGTCCTGTTGCTACTTCTCGCGGCCGGCACCGCCACCGCCTCCTGGTCGCCTCTCACGCGGGTCTCCGGCGCCTCCTCGCCGCCTCGCGTCAGCTATAGCCAGACACACACAGTCCGCTGCATCCCCTCGGCCCGGGCCCGCCGCCGCGAGCCCCCCGCTCTCCTCCTCGCCGCCGCCGTCCTCCTCTTCCTCGGGCGGCTGCAGCACCCCCCGGCCCGTGCACATGCCTCGCCCTCCCCTGCGCGCCGCTGGCTTCCCCGAGTCCCTCACATAGAGGCGCGGGGAGCGGGCAGCGCCGCAAGGACCGACTCGTCCCGGAGCCTCCTCCCGGGCTCGCGCGCGCGCGCCCCCGCGCACACAGAGGTGCCCGCGCACCGCGCGGCCCAGCAGGGCAGCCCCGCCCCCGCCGCAGGCCCCTCCCCGGACTCCCCCCACACCCCCCCCGCCCCAGCCACAAACGCTCACTTACACCCCACCCCCACCCAGCCACTCTCGGGAGCCCCTCCCCCTACCCGACCCTCTGCAGAGCCACCCCTTGGCTCCCCGGAAAACTCTGCAGCCTGCGCTCGCCCTCCGCCTCCCCCTCCGGCCATCTGCCCTGCTCCTCTCCACTCACCCCACTTCCGACCGTTTCCCCTCCCTGGCCTCTCCAGCCCCTGCAACGCCCCTCCTCTGCCCTACAGCGCAACCTACCACTGCTGCCCTCCTACCGAATTCGCTGCAGAGACCCCTCCCCTTCCAAGCGCGCCCCGAAACACAAATGCTTTTGCGGCTTCTAATGGCTGCTCGCAAACAATACTGTCCCCCCCCCCAACACCGGTCCCAGTGGCTTAACCACCGCTTTTCCCCAATTTAGCACGGAGGTAACTTAGTTGTGCGAGGGTGGCCTCAGAGAGTCAGGTCCCGTGGAAGGACCATAGCTGAGCTTGATGACCCCGAGTATGGGCGAATGAGGGGGCTGTCCTCCCACCTCCACTTCACCCACACACGCCCCCGATTTACGGACACCGAATGACCGCTTTCCAGTAGCTAGGACAAGGGGAGGCAGAGAGACGCGTGTGGACCGCAGCTGGGGAAGCAGTTGGCTGTGGGTTGCTAGGCAAAAATAAACATCAGAGACACCTCCCATTTCCTTACAACTCTGAGCTTTCCCCTTCGCCGCCACTGGGCGAGACACACCTTCCCTTCAGCTCTCTGCTGCAAGGGAGAGACACCTCTAATTCCTCTCAACCTCCCAGAAGATTCTCTTCCCCCTTAGCTTCCGAGACACGTGGAGGATTTCCCTGCCCGCTTAATCTGCTATCTACAGCCTCTCTTTCCCATGAAGGCCAAAAAATAAATTGCTTCCCCGTTTCACACCTGTGCCTCCTCATGCGTGGCATAGTGTGTCTTTGTCCAAAGGTCACAGGTTTTGCCATCTCAGCTCTTAGGAGTGGGACAAAAGTCGGGCAGATTCTGAATGACAGGGCAGGAAGTTGTGCCGTGCACTTCAGAGATGCCAGGTTTCCCAAGTTCTTCTGGGAACCTAAGTCCCTTCTGCTCTGCCCTGCCCCATGTGTCTCCAGGCCCTGGCTGGATGAGAGTGCAGGCCCAAACTCGTGCAGACTCCAATCCTAAGGGAGCCACCTCCTGTGTAGTTCCATCGCCTCTGCTGTTTGCAAATTGTCATAGCAACTTCCCACAGAGATCACCCTCAGCTTTAGACAAGTGCCCAAAACTGGGTGTTTCGAGGTACAGTGTGCCACTCTCAGGATCTTGGGGCTTTTACAGAGGAATTAAGGATAAGGGGCATTGACAGAGAGAACCAGTGGCAAAGAGTAGAATTTTGCCCATTACTATGTGTCTTCAAAAGCCAAAATTCTCACGGACCTCCTCCTAAGAAAGTAAAACAATTAGTCCAACAATATGCCTTTAAAAGAATCACCACCTGAATTGTCCCTGGCAAGAAATACTTCCCCATGCTTATCACTGGAGATAACACATTCAAATCCTCTTGGGGGAAACATGTTTGTGTCCAGAATTAACTAAAAGGGTTGAAGTAGCAGAGATGAAGTTACAATGTTTCCTGAATCTCACTCTAATTTCCCTATACTTCCTATCCACCACCTTGCACTTTCAGGAAAGTTCACACTGCTTTTCCTTCTTCCTACTTTGAAAACAATTTTTTCATGTCATTTTTCTTTTTTTAAATGAATACTCCATACTATCTATGCTTAACAGAAGTTGAGGAAAAAATCAATTGTCAGATAAACTGACTCTTGTTTTTAACTCATGTGTACTATACTTCAACAGAAGCTTTTCATGAATAAGAACAGCACTGCTTTTCATGAATAAGAAAATATACTAACTACTGGATGTCATAGTTTTGATTTCCAAATTAATAATATTAGTTTATGCATTATAAATGAAGAAAAAGTACATGAAATTTTTTGACAAAAGCAGAAAAAATGTTAACTTTAAAGAAGGAAAAAGAGAACATGTTTAGAGAAGTTAGTATCACTGTTTTATGACAGAAGCATAATTTCAATTATATATGTATAATTATATAGATAATTATAAATATTAAATAGGAAAATTTACAGTTAGCCTAGTTCTTGGCTATTTTTATTACAAATTATATTAATTTTTTGCTGATCTCTAAACTAGTATTAACAATTGCTTAGCTTTCTCTCATTCTGTTAAATGAATGAATGCCCTATAGAAGTGTGTACAAATTCTCTCCTTGGGTAAATTCTGGAAGTTATTTTCCTCAAATTGTATTATTATAATGTATCATTATTGATTATACTATATAATTACACTGTACTTTTATCTCTTTATAAGCTGCTGTCACAAATATTACCATGTGCAGTCTTCATAATTTGTATCCAGGCCAGAGCTGGGTTGGCTTTAAACAGAAACCCTCACAGGGGTGCCATTCAGATAGTAAGTCTCCTTTTTGGTTTTTGCCCATTGTAAATCCTCTATCTGCTCTGGAATGTTTAGAATAATCTAGATTCAAATAACAAGTAGATGGCAGAAATTAGCAGGAATTGAGCCTTGTGGAAGAAAGTTGATTTTTTTCACTAGAAAAAGCATTGGTCACAGAGAAAATTGGAAATGAACAAGAAAATTGCTGGCTTTGAACTATACTCACTGATTTAATTCCTTATCTCAGAAAATTTACAAAAATTTAGTATATGCTAGGCCAAGGAGATATAATGAATCATCAGATGCAGTGAGCGAGGCTTGAGTCTGGCAATCTAGGACCTCATTCTTTTATTCATTTAAGCAATAAACATTAAACACCTAGCATATTTTTGACACTATTAGTAGTGGGTTGATTTATGGTCTAAATGCTTTTCTCCTCCCTCCCCCCCATGCATATGTTGAAATCCTAATCCTCACGAGATGACACTAGGAGGGAGACCCTTGGGGCTAATTAGGTATGAGGGAAGATCGCTCATGAATGGGATTCATGCTCTTATTAAAAGAAACCACAAGAGCTAGGATCCTGTTCCGTTGTTATTTGAGTATGTAGCCAGCAGGCACCACCTATGAATCAGGAAAGGGGCTCTCACTAGATATCCTATCTGCTGGCACCTTGATTCTGGACTTTCCAGTCTCAAAAACTGTGAGAAATGTCAGTTCTATCTCAGCTACCCAGTTTATAGCATTTTATTACAGCAGTTTAAGTAGAATAAAACATAGTGCTACACAATTAAACAAATAATCCCTGGCTCTGGCCATTGCTATGGACAAACTCCCAGTCCAGTAAGGGAGACAAAACGTTTAACGATGAGTGGGGCAGTGAGCAAGGCCTATAGGCGGCACAGGGAGAGCACACAGAAGGGAAGGGAGAGCCCTCCTTAAGTGATGTCTGGCATCTCAGAGCTATGCTTCATGGAGGTTTGCAAGATGACTGGGGATTTATAAGTTAGAAAAGCCAGGCGGGGACATTTCTAGGCAGAAGTGGGATGTGCAAGATATATGTCCTGGACCGTGCAGTGTAAGCAATTCAGAACAGAGGGAGGTTGGGCTAGTACCGTTATCCTCACAGGGTTAGGGCTATGTAACTATGAACTATGTATGTGATCTTTGTTTCTGGAGTATAGCTCCTAAAATCCTTAGAAATTTTAAAGTTAGAGTCTTTTGTATGATAATGAGTTGGATGCTAGCTAGAAAACCTAGATAGCTTCAGGGTGGGGACTTTTTGCCTGATAAATTTAGCAGGATTAGAGGATTGGAACTTTCAGCCCCACCACCCCAAACCTCAGGGATGGGGAGTTAACCACCAGTGGTCAGTGATTTAATTCAATTTTGCCTATGTAATGAGGTCTCCATAAAACCCCAAACATGTCAGATAGCTGAACACATGGGGTTCCTGAAAGACAGCGAGCTCACAGAGGGTATGGAAGCACAACACCTCTTCTCACATGCATCACTTATCTGTGTTCTTTGTAATATCCTTTCCCTAGCATTGTTTCATTTGTATCCTTTGAAATATCTTTACCTAATGCATGGCTTTGTTTATATCCTTTATAAGAAACCAGTAAATCTGTGCTTCCCTGTGTTCTGTAAGCTGCTCAAAAAATTAATCAAACCTGAAGAGGGGGTCTTGGGAACTCTGACTTACACCTGGTTATTCTGAAACACAGGTAAATCACCCTGGGGCTTGTAAATGGCATCTGAGGGGGAAGGGGGGACACTCTTGGGGACTGAGACCTTGCTCTATGGGATTTAACACTCCCTCCAATAGATAGAGTCAGAGCTGAATTGAATTAGAAGACACCCAGCTAGTGTCCACTGCACAATTGATTGCTTGATTGCTGGTGGGAAAAAATCTTTTTCAGTGTCACAGAAATCTTCTGTTTGATTGTGGTGGTATGAGAAAAGAGGAAAAGAGGTTTGTTTTTTATACATAGGTTCTGAATAGAATAAGGTTGAGAATTATTCTAAATGTAAAAACAAGGTACATGGGCTTTTGTGCAACTAGGTAAATTGCTAAGAAGTTGCCTTGTTTGGGGTAACATAGTTAATGCGTTGTTTTTCTAGGACAGCAACATATATAAACTGATGATACCTTCTGCATCTCCATCACCAAGGTCCAGAAGCCCTTGGAAAAGAACATAAAGACCTATGTAGGAGGCGTGAACATTGTACCCAAATGGCCATGAGTACTGCATGTGCCTCTGGAGGTCATGTCTGTGGAAATTCAGAAGAGATTTCTAAACACTAGAAAGTTGGTGATCCCAAGTGTCTGGGCAGGTTGGTCATGCTTTCGTCAGGATGCTCACTGAGCCAGTTTCCTCAGTCCTAGGTGGGAGAGGGGAGATTTATCAAAGATTGGGGAGTTATTCCAGCATGTCCTAGGAACATTT